TATATATATGTCTATTAAACGGTACAACGATGTTATGGGAGACAGAGATATGGGCACATGCAAATGTGATCGTATCAATGGTAAAAATCATAAATTTTTATATGGCTTCAACAAATCACAGAACCCGTGTACTAACACTTTCCTTCATCATTTAAGCAATTTCACTTTAATATTAGAATAATTAATTTTGAACTCACGATTTCCAAATATTTGTATATATAAATATATGCAATAAAGTAGGTGTATACATATGTTTTATACAAGATCGTTTACAAATTAACAAACAATGTTTAATAACAAATGCAGTAGTTCAACTGAATAATCAAAAAGAATTTGATAAAATATTATGGTTACTGCTAACGTATAAATATTTTCTTTTTAATTACAAAATAACAAAATTCTTATGATATAGTAAAATATAGTACATATTTATTATAATTATTTTTCCTTTAATATCCTAATAATGATCACATTATTATAAGTATGGTTACACGTCGTCTTCTCTTCTACGAAGGGGTAAATCGTTGGTCTACTCTTATAATACATACGTTAGTCAAGGGAGGCAAACCCTTTATGGTGATAGACATCATGTCACATAACCATAGTTGGGTTAATTTGCCGCCGCCGCTCGATTGCACTTTTCACTTTACTCATTTCTCATTTCTCACTGTTTATTTTCAATCTACTCATAGTTTAATTTAGAATATAACTAGAAATGACAAAATTATTTTTATTGATCATGTCTGGGACTCTAATTTATTTTTGGAAGAATGAAATTAAAATATAATATTAAAAAGTGTAACGTTACAAATTCAAAGGTGGACTGTTTAAGATTTTTGTTATGTCTACTTATTAAATTTTTATCGCGCAAGAGATTGAACCTTTTTCTGGCACAGCAGTGTTAACAACTTATTATTTTTGCCCCTGACTGCTAAATAAGGTGACAAAAGAGAATAAATGTAATTAAAATAGAATTGTTTATCGGTATTGATCCCTTCCAAAAAGACTAGCCGTTATCAATTTAAAATTATCGTTAGATTGGTGTTGACTCTTCATCTTCTCCTCCCATTGACCGTGCTAGAGTGAATATTTTTGTTGTTTTTTTTAAATGATGAAGCAAACCCGCCAACGACCAATGATCAGGTCTTTTAGCGAAGCATCTAGACCATCGGATGCGTCTCTTCGGAGACAAGGTGTCGTTTTCTTTTTTTAATTATATTTATGTGATGAGCTATATTTTATTTCATTTTATTAAAAATAACTTAATGTTATTTTAATGTGGAGAGCACGTGATCATCTTTTTTCTAACAAACGCTAAGGAGCGAGTGTCTAGACCGCTCTTTGTGTTTTTCATTAAGTTCTGAATAACATTAAAGGATGTGTTCCAATACTGTCTATAATGTTTGTTATATTATTTGTTATACTATATTATTGTTATATGTTATTATATATTATTAAAATAACAACATATTATTATGCTTGTTACAATAATTTGTTTAAACATATTTTTTTTTAACATATAATTAAATTTCCTTTTTAATTTTAACTTCTTCTTCTTCTTCCTCGACTTAATCCCAACTACTTGGGGTTAGCCACCCTTATCCTAAACTTCCACTTGACACGATCTTCTACATCATCTACGCTCACATCAGCTGTCCTCAAATCGCATTCAACAGCATCCTTCCATCTCTTTTTTGGTCTTCCTCTACCTCTTTTTCCTGCAAAATTCATTTAAATTTTCTTATTAATTTTAACTAAAATATTTATTTTATTGTGCGAGTAACTTAAGTACTCGCGTGTATTTATCCTTGTTCCTTAATCTAGACACGGTATGTTTTACATATCATACACTTATAATTTCAGTTATCATTGTTCTAATTATACATATAATGACATATTAACTTAAATTAAACTATTAATTAACTTAAAAATTGAATTCCACCTATGATCCGATAATCATATCTGATAGTTATGACACCTCACCTAGGTGGTGGGTACCCTGCTGCTATAGCTGGTCGTTATGCAAGTGGCAAACCACGATGTTGATACCGGCTAACAAAATGCCCACTTGCAAAAGTTACTGTCTTTTCTTTTTATTAAAAATGTAACTTAATGTTAATCTTGGTTTAAGACGTATACATGGTATAGCAAGAGGATCTGAGCGGCTGGCATAACAAATGACGTTAGAGTAGTGGAAATTTAGAAAATTAATCTACGGTGAATAGGAAAATATTATTGTGCAATATATTATTAAAAATATACATCTTTTAAATTGTATTTTAGTATTGTATGTACTGAGAATTTTGTGTAATGCAACTGAATATTGACAAAGTGAGTGCTGAATTACTAAAAATAATAGCAAATAGAAAATTTTACTTTCTTGAATTATTTCAATCAAATTCTCTATAACANGCAAATAGAAAATTTTACTTTCTTGAATTATTTCAATCAAATTCTTTATAACAACAGTATAACTCAAGAAAAAAAATAGGTTCAAAAATGATGAACGAATCAAATTTTTAATTTTTAGAGGTGTAAATTATTATTTCTACTGATTAAAAATTAATATTACTGATCCTATAAAAAACGCTAGTTCTAACAAAAATTATTTGCTCTCGATACAACTACAAAAAAATTAGTGTACTGCTCTAACGTCAGTAAAATTAGTGTTCTACTTCCAACCTTTGAAAAAAACTACAGTTTGTATTTTGTGTTATGTCTGAAAAAAATGCTAATATTCAGTTATCCTTATTTGGCGAGTTACTTCTTAAAAGACTTTATAATTATTTTTTTAATGAACAATTATATTACATTCTGTAGCTTCTTAATATTTAGGTTGTATAGCTTTAAGATTTGTTATTTACAAGTTTGATTTATTACATCAGATGCATGTTTTACAGTTAAATTTGTACGTAACTAATAAAAATAACAAAAATATATTTTTCTTTTTAAATATTTGTATAAATCTACATTAAATTTTAAGATTTTCTTAATATAAAAAGATAACTGCACTGTTTTATTACCAAAACCTATTTAATATTCTATTAAAAATTTTTCAAAATGAATTGTGTAATTTATTTTGGTGTGTTATTATGTGTTAAATCTTCTTTCGTGATAAGTACGGTAATTAAAATGAAAATTCATTATTTATAGTAAATTCTTAAAGTTTAATTAAAAAATTATCTGTTTACTAGAGTCAATGCAATAAACATACTGATAAAAATCTACGTGACCAAAATAATCCAATTGAAAGGCCAACAAAAGAACAAAGAGTTGAAAAAGTAACGTTTTAACATATAAAAAAAATGTTCACTTGTGGTTACTATTATTTAAAATTAAAAATATATTGAAAAAGTAACAAAAATTATTAAAAAATTTCGGTAACCATTAGCTAGTACAATCACTAGCAAGTTGCTCTCTTTTCTTTATTCCGTTTTTGTATTTGGAATAATTTTGATATTACGATTTCGTTAAATCCATTAAATCAGTTTCTCTTATAATCCACTGTTCTTTATCAAATTCTATTTTACTCATCAAAATATAAAATTATCTGTAAATCTACTATTAAAGCTGACATTGTGGATTGTTAGCTATGGTTCGAATTGTTCGGAATGTCTATATGTTTTTCTGTTAAATTTCAAAATTTAGTTCTCTCTACTTTTCCAATAAATTAATTCTAAAAACACAATTTTCCCTCTACTCCCTGTTCGTACGTGAATTTAATGGATAGGTAAAATTAATTTAAATATTGTATAAAGTCCTCCGTAATAATTATAATCTTTCTTTATTACAGAAACAATATCATCAACATACCT